TTTTTTTTTTTTTTTATCAATGAAATGGGCCATATTGTATGGACATTCATTCATCTTCTCCTCAAATCAATTTGGACCAATTTCAAATTTTAAGTACTTCAAATTTCGAAGTCTCATATTCTAAGATTGAATGAAAACACCATGATTGTGCAGCGCTCCATGTTTGAGTCGGCACCCTTACAATTCTTGCACTAATGAAAGCCTTAAAGACCAATGACCAAATCTATTGCTCTGTTAAACATATTTTCATGTTTTGAAAATATTTTGAAAATAATATAGTTATAATATTACAAGGTGTGATAAATTTTGTAATTATGATGTATTATTATGTAATTTATTCTTTTTATTTAGCAATTCATTTATGATATTGTATATATCCATTAATTTAATAAAACATTAATATTGTAAACTTACTATCTTATAAGATACTATAAAATCATAGCTATTCAAATTTTGTCGGCTAGACTCAAATCTTCAAATCTACTTCCTTTTCCATCTTAGAAATTTTGTATGGTAAGAATAATAAGTGGGAAGACTGGGGAAGCAGAATTGGGGATTCTTTTGCAAACTCATCATGGTCAGGTGTGAAATATTTGTATTTTGTCCAACAAAATCTCATGTAAGTGGAGAATAGACAGGCCGATTTTTTTTTCTTTTTTGTAACAATTGTTTGTTGCCACAATTTAAAATTTTCAATTTAATTTAGTACATGTCTTTCAAAATCATGATTCAACCTTTCATTTTATACGGAATGGATGGAATTTCAATAGCAGTCTTTTTCATTTAGGCGTTTTGTGGAGGGTTAGTGCGTGGGGATAGGTGAGATAAGCAACGCATCCAATTCCCATAATCCACATTTCTCTCTTGTATGAAAATAGTCCACGATATGATCTTAATTTGTACCGCGTTAGCAGTATTATTAATTAATAATAATTTGGTCTATTCCTTGGGTAATAAATTAAGAATTATCTTATAATTAATAATAATTTGATATTTGAGTAAAACAGTGAAAAAAGTAAATTTTTTTATTCACATGAATCCATGTAAATTAATATATAATTCATTTTAAACGTCGTGTTAAATTATTATTTAAGTGGTGCTATAGGAACAACTTTTTTATATTATCTTTGATGCAACTTTTATATGTCACTAAATTAGTGAATACATTTAATGTCACCAATCCACATTATTAAAAAGAACTAATCATATAAATGACACGTCAAATTATACAAAAAAATGAAATAAAAAGATTGTCTCAAAATCATTTCCTAGTTATTTACCGACACGGCTGCATGGAAGATCTTCTCTCGTCTATATATGACTTAAAAAAATGACCCATTTTAATGATTGAGGATTTTGAATCATGTCTTGTTTACCAACTGCTAATTTGGAAGGAAATCTACTCTAAAGTATTAACATGATCTGACCTAAATATTTTCATTACAAATCTCTAAAAGTAGTTGGTCTGAATTTAGAAGTATTTTGTTCACAATGTTACTCACCAAAGTTTCACTATTGTTGAAAGATTTGCCCCACGAGGAGGATCTCTACTTCTGGCGTGATGACTGTAATGCCAAATTTTAAGAAGAGATCAACACGATTCTCTTTAAATATTTGAGCTTCCTCTTCCTCAAACATTAGGAGAAATAAACTTTTAAGAGTTTTATTTTATTTTTGTAGTTTAAATTACACTGAATTGCAAAATAAAAATGATTAAATAAGGGGAGAGAACTTAATATCAAGGGATTTGCCTCTCATTCAATCATTTTTATTGTGCAATTTAAACTATATAATAGTTTTTTAAACTTTTAATCTGATGTGATATAAAAAAAATCTTTAACCGAAAAAGAAAAAGAAACATTTAATGTGACACAAGAAATCTTTAATGTGTTAATTTTTTGACAAATTGTTGTATCGCTTTATGCTGGAAAAAAATTTCTATTGGAAACGAAGGCAAAAATCCAGAGAGAATGGTCAGTTTGAGAAATTGTGGCAAAAAAACCGATATGCAAGCAAGAATTTGTTTGGAATAAGTGGAGGAATTTGGAAGGATTTGATTGTTTTGGTTCAATGTTAACCGTCTAGAAAGCTTAATTTATTTGACTTTGAGAGCAAATGATGTGTACATTTCCTTTGGCCCTAATTTGTGTGTGTCTCAAGCAACTTGCTTGCTGTTCACTCTGCCTTCTTTTTCTCTTTTCAGGTTTCAGCTCAATGTGAACCATTTGACTAACTCCAGTTCTTGGGATGTACTACCAGCACACGGTGTCCTAGTTGTCCTTGTACCCCCAGGGAAGGGGGCATACTAGAACGTGTGTTTATTTTAATGCTCCACTTAGTTACAAGTCAATATTATTTTATTTTTTTTTTTTTTGGAACAAGGTTACAATTTTGGGAAAGGGGGGAATCGCACCCCAACCTTCGGGCCGGAGAATGCACCTTATAAACCAACCTATGGCCGTTGGTCGTGAGGCCCAAGTGCCAATATTATTTGATTCAATTTAATTAACTAACATTCACCTTATAGATACATATACATATGATATAATCCATTTTGTTACTCCAAAATAAAGCATATATAATAAGCGCCTGTTTGTGGAGTTTAAACTTACTTTTAAGTAAATTGTTTAAAGTTAAGTAAACTTATTTTTAAGTAAATTGTACATTTTGCAAAACTTGCTTATAATTAAATCACTTTGAAAGTTAAATTAAAATTTTTATTTTCATTTGATAAAATTTTAAATTTATGAGGAAAAAATGTAGAAGGATCGGGCTTGCTGTAGTCCTAACAAAAGTCGATCAACTTTACATGTCTTTGCTGATAAAATGAAAAAAAAGAAAAAAATTCATGTTTACATGTCTTTACATATACATATAAATATTTTATTTTATAATTTAAATTTCATTAAATTATAAAATGAGGTCATCAGATAAGGGAGACTTGAATCATTTTTTATTTAATAGTAAGTGTTATGTAGTCCAGCATCATTCAAATTGCATAATACATTTTCATATTAATAAATTATTTATTCTCTTTACATCTTTTTGCATGAAAAGCTAAAAAGGAAAATTATTATGCTGGGCGCATAAATTGTTATGTACAAGAAAATGTAGATTATATTTTAAAAATATAGTTTAATTTATAAATTTATTAAAATATTTTTAATAAAATTATTTTTCATACATCTTTTTGCATGAAAAGCTAAAAAGGAAAATTA